GAGGTGTATTTCAAATCTTCAGTGTACTCATAGATGGATTGATTAAAACAGTATGGTCCAGGATTTCCCAGTCATCATCGGATTTAATGGCTGCCTGCGAATGTGAGTTTATCATTGATAAGTCCTGCTAATTTGAACGCTTTATTCGGTTCCTAAGATATTCTGGTAACCCGCAAGCTAGAACTACACAGTGACCTGAACACGAGAGAAAAGGCGCAAATTAAGTGAAAAGCATTTTACCCTGAAGGTTCATTTTTGTACAAAAAAGCACGGGTATTTATAGATTATTAGCATTTTTCAAATCAACATTTGTATTTTGGCCAGTCTGCGAAGAGACATATTATGCTACTGACCAATAGTAGCATGCCACGTTAATACTCTAGAAAGCTCCCTCATGCTCTGATTGGCTGAAACTCTTCGGCTCCGTTGTAGTTCTTGGAAGCCGATTCAACAACAATATTATTGGTTGTACGTTTGGATACTTACTGTAAAGCGGTTTTTGACAAAACCCCAAATACTTTTTCCGTTAAGTAGTTTTTCTCAATATTCTCACTGTTATTTCATTTATTCTTCAGATGTAAATGATCAAAATTATTCCGTGAATAGCGCGTCACGTGGTCGAAGTGTATCCGTTGGGTTATTAAGTGATATTATTACCGCTATTCATAATGAAGTCAATGAGCATCCTGATACTCAAAGCTGCGGCCACATCACTTCATCCTCTTTGGATGGTTTACGCGAACATCTGCAACATCACCTTTTCTGGGCTGAGTCAGTTTTGGGGAACAATCAAACAGAACTTGTTAATTGTTTAGTTAGTGTTATTTTTAGAGATCGGTTGTCAGATGCTTCTCATAGTGAATACGCAACATGGTTAAGAAATTTTGGTGAAAATCTCCCTGAACACTTGGTTGATACAACAGCATCATTTGCCAAATTATGTAGGGTAAGGTATTCATAAATTTTGATATTGCTTTTTTACATATTCGTTTTTTCTTGTTTAAGAGTAAAATCCCAGCTGGTTATAAAAGCTATTTATAAGTTCTTATTCTTTAATTCGAATGAATTCTTATTTATATTCCCACTTGATTTTCAATGTGGCGACGTGAACCGACTCAGATGTTTGTTGTTTATGACTGACTAGATCTCGTTTGCCTAGTCCAGATCAATGTGTTAACACTTTAATGACTTTTAGGGCAAGCACAGATACTGTTTTTTTTTCTCAGATGCATGCAACTGAATTACTTGCTAATTGTCACAATGAAGTGTTTCATCAATAATTATAAGGAAGTGAGAATTAATTTGACATTATCAGTGTTGGCAACTAACTTTAGCAATACTAGCATGGTCTTAATTTGGATTTTAATGTTGTAGAAAATGTTATATTGGTTGATTTAATTAGTTAGTTGTCACAATGGTCTAAACGTCTGTAGCCTTTTTTGGAACCTTAATATAATTACCTATAGATTTAATAGTTTATACTTCTTAAGTCATCTTATAACTGATGTATCTATCAATTATTTCCTATCCTTTAATTAAATACTATAGTTTGTACATTTTCATTTACATTTTAATTCTTTAAGTATATTGTTTCTTCGCAATTGGATTTGTGGAGAGCCAGTCCAACGAATACCGGATTCGGTAATACCCTACTGATGACTCTGAAGATTGCTTGTACAGATCTTCTGTGCTTAACAGACATCCTTACAAATCATCTTGCTTCTTCTTTGGGTATTGAACTACACACTGAATCAAGTTCTGAAAGTCCTCAAGGAATTCGAAACCAAATGTTTGGCATCACTACAGGCTTTGATATGTTGTTGGATCATTTAAATTCATTTTTGCAAGCGAATGAGGGTAAGTGTATAGGCTGTTTTACACTAACAGATAACTGAGCTGATTATTCACCAGTCCTTCCAACTGTTTATAAGTTATTCTAGGCGTCACTAAGTGTTGTTAAACAACTCCACATCGCTACCACTGAAATATATCGTACTCCCTTGGAAATTTGGTCCATATCAGCTGAAAAATGTTTTTCAAATTGGTGGCTATTTTGCACTTTTTTAAAACTGCACCGACAGTTAAATCAAACTCTACAAAGCCATGTTCTGAATAGTTGGTTCTCAAGGACATCCTAAGAACTATAAATACCCACGTTTTTTCTCATGTACTATCGTCGACTGAAACCCAGGATCTTTAATTTTTTTGTACCCAGTAGTTTAAGGACTAGATTGAGTTGCTCGAAGTATAGCACAATTTAGGTCGGATATTTTCGCCGTTTATTCACTCATTCCTTTAATATTCGACGTGAGTAACGAGTCAGGTCATGGTAGTGGCAATGGTTGTTTAAAATCTAGAAATATTGACTTGCCTGAGCCAAATTATAAGTTTTTGCAGAAACGCTATTTCGAAGGACATTTTTTGATAGAGGTAAACGACAAACAAAGTATTTTATCATGACCTGTCGGACACCTGCAAAAAGTTGGTATTTTCCCAAAAATGTTTAGTGATGTAAAGAGGATATACGTCATTTCCAGTATGATATTTTAATAAATACTTGTATTGACTCATGAATTCAGCTATTAAAATTACTATAATCTCCACAAATCCCTATTCTGATTTCATTAAATTGTTGTTCATTCTTTTCTCAATTTATAATTTTTATAGATGATGAAAACTTTGACTTTGCTCAAGACTTTATAACAGGTTTTGAGAATTGTATTAAATCGTACTGTGATATGGATGAAACAACATTACGTGCCAAAGTGACACACCAAAAGTCCTCATATATAGAGTTCAGGAAATCCAAAATCCCTTCACCTATGATGGTTGATCCGGTTAGTCTCCTTTTTTTTCATTTCACACATAATATTAGATGATCATGCGAACATAGTAAAGCGGTGGTCTGGTAAATTTATAAGCTGTATTTACAAGTGGATTGAATGTGTAAATATGATGAAACGTGAATTATTTATATTACATACAAATCAAATTTCCCTTACAGGAGTGTTCATTATTTTCTTTTAGTCAAGTGGTGAAATCCAACGAAATGTATTTGATGAAGATTTGCATGGTGATGATTTACCGTTTGTAGACGCATATTCTGATTTGCCTTCGGATGAAATGAACCGTCCTATGTCAGCTGTTTCAAAAAGTAATAGTGATGTGCCTACTGGTCAGCTTAAATTACAATCAAAAATATCCTCCTTACCTGATTGGACTCCGAAACCAGGAGAATTGCCTGATAGTAGGATAAATGGACTTGACCCTAATCCGAATGCTACTCTGCCTATGAGTAATGACCTATCAGTTACAAATGAAACAGAAGGTTGGCACGCTGTTTTACCTCCTGCCTGGATTCATGTAGTCACCAGCGATATATCTGCTATGTCACATAACCTTCCAACTACTGATGATCCTAATCAATTCGGGCGATTCAGTGATGGATATATAGCAGGCATGCCTGCGAAAAGACGAAAGGTAGTAAACTTTATGTTTATTTTTCCCTTATATATATATATATAACACTGCGTCCCATAAACTATACGGTAACGATATATACAGACTTTCGTCCTCAAGAAATCGCTTACATCCAATGGCGATACTGTTATTTAAGCAGCGTTTAATCTTTCGTAACTACATCGGTTAAAGAAGGCCAAATATTTTGAAATGCGAACTAATGAAGCCTCATATTTTCATTACGTTGTAGGGTTAAACATTTTTACTAAAAACACATATCATTTGCAACCTCAACTTGGAAACCTGAAGGAAATAGAAAGATCAAGAGACACTAGGTCGTAAACTAGAAGCAGACATCAAAAGAATAAATAGCAACCAGAAAGGATCATTCAGGACCGAGTTCAATAGAGAATCCTGATCGATGGCCTATGCTCCACCGCGAGGGGTAATAGGAGAAAGTTAAATTTGGAAACGTTTTGTGTAGGCTCGAAAGATGCCATGAAATCTCTACTCGAGTGCACCAAAGTACGAGTCACTCAAACTGGAAAATCTCAGTTACACGGCAGAGTCAATAAACAATTCCTCCATAGTTTCAAAAATAGAAGTTAAGACTGTTGTATAAAATAGATAAGTAATGTGATTAGGTCGCTTTCTAACTTGCATTTCCTGAAACGAGAAACAATTACATTGAGATGTATTCTCTCCTCTATTTTTGCATGATGCCTACTTCTACGTTCTGGTTGGCACAACATTTTGGGGATCCTTATTCTATTTATTATTCTGAGATATGTTTAGTCTCTTTCTTGACGGCTGTTAGAGGTTGTAGAAGTTAATTTATGCCAAAAAAATTTTCACGATGACTTTGTTCGCATTGTACATCCCAGTGTCTAATCACTTCATGTTCGTTATTTTTTATACTGTTCAAATAGGTTATGCAAGAACACTCAGCATCTTTGTTTCAATCACCTGATCAATTATTCATAGAATGCTTATCCGATGCTGTTGCAAGTGATCACGTTAATAAAGAGAAGACAAACGAATATTCGAATAGTGATGTAGAAGATAAATATAGGTCGAGACTCAGAAGACTACCTGCCGCAGACATTGAACTCGTTAACTCTTTGAGAGAAGTTGTCTCAGATCGACTAGCAGTACGTTTGTCGAACGACCCAGACTTTGATACAGCACAGTTCCCACTGTCTACTCAGAAATTTTTAAAACGAGAACCAAAAGCTCGAATGTAACCTTATTTAGCTGTGTGAAGGGATAAGTTCCTAGCTTGTTTGACCTAAAATATTTTACTGGCATACATCAGTGGTTGTTATAAGAAATGGATTTCATACTATTCAAAACAGGATACCAAATTTCATTGTGTATTGTCAGTTTCAAAAGTATGTATGTTTACTTTTAGAGTGTCAAAAACTAACAGTATGATGTCAGGTATTACTTCTTTTTTATGAACTTATCGCAGTTTATGGTTCTGGACGTTACGAACCCGTGAATGATATTAACGGCCATAAAGTTAAATAAAAACACATGTTTGTCACAATTTTTTTTTCTGAAATTCCCTATTTAAAAAATGTGATAAAATCATCTTCATAGATAGGGAAAAGAAACTATGAATGATTTAACAACTTTACTGATGACCTAGCATTACGTCTATAAACAACAGGGCTTTCAACCTTCTGTGGGCGATGATTTTGAATAGTTTCTTCTACTGGTTTCCCAGTTTTCGATACGCGACTCGATCGAAACAACCAAGGTACAATATAAAAGTGCCAGAAAGTCCATGATATTAAACCGATTAAAACCAACGACCAGAAGATGGATATGTGCCTGGGGAATGGTTTAGTAATTATGTCCCAACCAAACTTCATTACTATCAAGAATTCAGTTATGATAATGCTTGAAATCATCCATGCTTGTCTCCCAAATCGTTTGCATTTACTAGGAACGGGGAAAAGTACTGAGAATCAGTAATTTATAGAGTACAAACAGTTTTCATATACATGCACATTGGCACTTAATTTACAGAAGTACAATGATAATAAGGTAGATGCTCTCTATTGGTTTTTACTAAATAGTAGATTTATTGTCTGTTTGGAACATGGCCCTTAATAGTAGAAGACACTCGTAAGCTACTAGTATTTGACCACAGATGCCTTAGAAATATTGCTGGGATCACCGGGTAAGTAATAGTGAGGTTAGACGCAGGGTATTAGGGAATGATGGTAAATCAGTTGATGAGGTTATGAATCTTCATCGACTGAGATGGTTGGGCCACGTATTACGTATGCCTGAACACCGATTACCACGACGTGCAATGCTAACCGGGGTAGGGGATGGTTGGAAGAAAGTTAGGGGCGGCCAAACCAAAACATGGCATCAGTGCTTGAGGACACTAACTTCAAGTCTGAGCCATGTTGGTAGATGCAGACTACTTGGTTGGGGACCGCGTGACTTTCGTAACCAATGGTTGGAGACTTGGTGACATGGCTCAGAATCGATCACAATGGCGTCGGTGTATACACTCCCTGTCTTCCCTTAAACTAAGAGACTAAAATCACTTCATTCTTTCTGTCTACGAACTAATTCTTTCTTCCTATACTATATCCTTATTGCAACCTTTGACCTAAACACTCCTATGAATCCGCTGTTCATCTTGCTGTGCTAATGAGGTATGGCAACCTGGACCGATGCACATATGTGCCTGGTCCTACGTTGTAGCTGACTGACTGTCTATTTGGAAGTTATACGAATGTAAAAGGTTAATGAAGAATACGTCTATTCACAAGCTTTAGTAAATCTCACTTGTTTGATTTGATCATCAGAAGATTTAAGAGCTTTTCTCTTCCTGCAACAGTGTGAAGTTTAGTTGAATTGGTTTGTGGAGACTTGCTTAATTCGTGAGTAGTATACATCATAGTTGGGTACAGTTGAGTTAGCAGGAGGCACTGGACAATTGAGTTGTCTGCGAGCCCGGTGATATTACATTCACGGTACAGCACCTAGTGTTATTGCTAGTGATAACTGTTTTATTTCCAGCAAGTGTATCTTCCATCAGTCACAATTTTCCAGCGGAACTCAAGGTGTAGATTTCAAATAGATTCACTAGTTTTTTCAAGACCGTTCTCATTTTTAGTTGTTCTTATTCGTGAAAAAGTAACCGCAAATATCACTCGAACTAAGAGGCACTAAATTATTATTTTGCCATCCTAGTATGGAACTCTGCAACAGTGATAAACAACCAAACTGACATTGATTATCACTTAGAATTTTATCTTCAATTACCACAGATAAGCTATTTTTTGATGGGAAACGTCCTGTGGTTGTACAACCTCATCAAATAATGGTTACATGGAGTCTAACGAATCTTCAGTTACATTCTTTAAGGAGCCAAGTTAATTGGTTGAGATGCTCCTAAAATTCGATACAATTAAAGCTCGAGATCGCTCCTTATACGTCCTTATTAATCTTACCTAGTCCTCATGACTTGATTATGAAAAAGTTCATATTTTGAAAGTCTGTAAATATGTGTTGACCTTTTCAAAAATAATAATATAAAAATTCTATTATTTTACTCTACGGAATTCACTTACGGATCATCAAGGTATTCAAAATATTCACGAATAGCAGTGGCTCCCATCAAGGTCAGAAAGATTAGACGTCCAAGACACAAAAAGTGAGGAGGTGGTACCCAAAGTACGAATTTCAAGTAAAAAGTATTCAATTCTGCTGTAAGTATCTAAAAATTGTGGAAAAAATTATAAGGCATAGGTCTACCGTGACGAAATCTCAGCACGGATACAGAAGGCTCGACTAGCTTTTACCAACTTGCGTCATTTATGGCGTAGGCGAGATATCCGTCTATCAACCAAAGGACGGGTTTACTACGCAGCAGTTCGTTCCGTCCTACATTAAGGCAGTGAAACATGACCGGTAAGAGTAGAGGATATCCGTAGGTTACTAGTATTTGATCATAGGTGTCTTCGAAGCATTGCTCGTATATCATGGGACCATCGAGTAAGTAACGCAGTTGTTAGGAAACGGGTAGTAGGTAAGGATGGCAAATCAATTGATGACGTAGTGAAACTTCATCAGTTGAGATGGCTGGGACACGTGTTACCTATGTCCAACCACCGACTGCCTGGACGTGCGATGTTTTGTTGTATAGGAGTAGATTGGAAGAAAGCTAGGGGCGGCCAGACCAAAACATGACACAAGTCCATGAAGTCACTGACAAGTGGACTGAGCCATGTTGGTAGATGTAGACTACCTGGTTGTGGATCGCGAGATGATAGCAACCGATGGTTAGAGACCCTGAATGACATGGCTCAAAATCGTTTGCAATGGCGCAGGTGCATCCACTCTGTGTTCTCCCAAATTTCGATCTCCCTATTCCTCCTTGTCTCTTTTTTTTCTCTTCCCAAATTTATTTCACTGTATTATACTCCTTGAATAACATCTTCAAATACTAATCTTTCCGATTAATGCTTATACTCTTATTACCTCTACCACTACGGGATTTGAATCGACCACTACATCTGCGTGCTAATGTGGTGTGGCAACTCGAACTGATGTACGTACGTACGAAGTTCTACGTTGTTACTGACCGACTGACTACCGTAATTAAGTTCAAAAATAAGAATGGACTGTTTGCATGGAACTTTACATTACTTCACTGTGGTAGTTGTCATACTGTGGCTCCTTTGTTTGGTTTAGTCTGGTTCTGTGTTTGGACAGAGGTCATGACAAGATTTAAACTAATAGTCATATCGTTTTGATGATTTAATGTATTTTGTTCTAACTGATGAAATTTAGCAATATTCAGATCAAGTTATTCCATGGATAAGAAGTAATATTGTTTTAGTAAAAACGTAAAGTAGTTGGTTAAAAAAATAGCGACTGTATATAAAAATTGTCTTTTTATAATGTTGATATAATCGACAAGAATAGATGACCACTAAAGAGATCGTGTTTTAGTCGTAAATTTATTGCTTTAGACCGATAAGCGATGATAATTTGACGCAAAACAACAATGATTATAGTATAACATTCAAAAAACCACAATACTTACTGCAATCGCAAGAACCAAAGTCCCTAACCATCTCTTTAGACTTCCAGTCGGACGCCAATCGAAATCAGTCCATCGACGAGGGGTAAACTGCAACATAACTCTACGAAGTTTGCCTCTGTATAAGGTAATGTAGAGAGATGAATGGAATTATAGTCATTAAGTTACCGAATCGCATAACAATAATTTTCGGCGCTAGTCAATTAAACTAATTCAGAATTACTCTGTAAATGAATCGTCGGGGAATATTCTGCTCTAGAGTCCTAGCAACTAAGTCGAAATGTTGTCTGCTTTGATCCTATATTTGTTTCCCAAAAAACAGACTATAAAACATTTCCAAGCAGCGCCACTAAATGATCTAATAATATTTTCTTAATCATTTGATCTGGGTAACAGTAGGTTTTCGATACATCATCAGTAGATTATATTTTGTTTTATTTCATCCTAATTACTTTGTGAAAGAAACAGTAGTTACAGAGAAAAATAAGTGCGAAATTTCACATCAAGTTAGCGAGATGTCAAAGTATTTTCAAGCACTCACTTTATGAATTTTAGGAAAAGGAAATAACGAACCCAGATGAGTCTAGTGACTAGGAAAATGTTCAAACTTGAAGAAAACTATTTCTTATAAAACTGGGTATATGTAATCAGGTAGATATAAACAAGAACATTAGTTTCCTGAACATTACAGGTACACCTTGCTATTGGTTTAAGCGGAACATCCATTTCCTAACCTAAGGCTGAGTTTATTGTGTATTAGTTCGCTCTGTTCTTCTTTATGGACGTGAAACATGGTCATAAAGAGTAGAGGATATTCGCAGGCTATTATTATTTGATCAAAAGTGTCTTCGAAGCATCGGTCGTCCATTTTGCGACCGAGTGACCGGTCCTGAGGTTAGGCATAGGGCACTAGGCAAACATACCAAATCGATTGATGAGGTGGTAAGTGTTTACCAACTGAGTTGGTCAGGACATGTGTTACGTATGTTTATCCACCGCATACCTTGAAGGTGGTTGCAGAAAAGCTAGGGGTGACTTGGGTCAGAATCATTCACAATACCGTGGGTACATTTACTACTTTTCATTTAGAATCTGAATATCGTTATATCTTTGTTTCCTTTTTTGTACCTTATCTTTTCTACTACTACTGATACTGTTACTACTCTGACCTTTCTGGGCCTTGTCTTGAAATGTTTTCATCTTGCCGTGCTAATGTGGTATGGCAACTTGAACTGATGCATATGTGTGAGATTCTACGTTGCGTGCAACTGACAGACTGATTAATTGAATGGAACTGATAAAACGCGAAAAAATATCTAATATAACCAGGGATTTATACAGAACACACACACACAAACGACCCACATTTGAACTATAATACCTTGAGTTGCACAAAATTACATGCTGACGTTTTGATAGGGAAGAGCTAGTTAACAGTAAGAGCTACGGGATATGCAAAGAGTGATAGGCCAGTACGTCAAAGTAGTTGTTAGAATTGCTGAAAACGACGGTGCACATAAATAAATCTTTCAAATACATAGTCAAATTCGAAAATAACAATTCTAATCAAAGGCAAAATCGAAAAAAAACTTCACTAGTTGAAGTTTAAAAATCCGATTTTTCAAAGGTAGCTGAGAATTCTATATTGTACCAAAAATATAATATTGAATAAAGCCATTAGTAATAATAATCTTGACTGTTCAGACAGTTTTTGACACGGGTTTCAGATGCTGAATCATCGAAAACCAAGATGCACTAACAACTAATTCACCCTATTTTAGGACTCTTCAACAGTCCTCACAGTCGAATTTGCCAGGGATCGAACCCGAGAGCTTGATGGTACTCCGAGACCGAATATTAATATTCCCAGCTTCAGTTAGTTTTTGGTGCGAGGCGATGATCACGCTGAATCGCCTCTTCCCCACAAAAGAACGAACAAAGTTTAATTGTTAAATTTAGCAGTGTTGTGAACTTCGAGAGAAAGGGACGATAAATCAGGTTTAATGTAGTTCAATAATAAAATCAGAATAAATAAAAATGACCTGTAACTGGGGATATTCCACATGCCTCGCCAATGATACGGTTTCATGCTTAAATAATTGATTGTTTTCATGCCTAACCAAATTCCGAGAAGGTTGCAACCTAGAAAATCCATGATCCACTGTATTTTTTTATATTGTTAAAAGAAAAGTGAGAACATAAATATAACGTGAAAAAAGCAAACTAGTAACTGGAAAAAATCAAGAAATGTTTTATAGTTCTTGTAATAACAAGTAAACATTTTATGAAGTGCTTCAAGCACTCACAATCACAAATTGGATAACATTCATAGATGAGGATTAAGTTTGAAACTAAAACATGTATTACACACTTGTAGTCAAGGATTGAGATAAACGATTTAAAAGAAATGTGTAAATTAAGGCAGGTCGAGGTAGTAGTATGAGCAAAAGAAATCATACACTCTGTGTGGGTAATTAGACAAGGAACTGAATGAATGAAATACGTATTTATTGGCAAATATGTCCTAACGCTACATCAATTTAACACTCGTTTTCAGATAGCGTATCTCGTGTTGAATTATATTTACTGTTGATAACTTCATACGTTATCAGACTGCCAAGACTGGAATTATGATTTAATGACTGAAAGTCAAGTTCAAAACGTAATTACAGACAAATGAAGCGAACATTATCCAAAACCCTACGTCAGGAAAACTTGTAGGTTAAATGCTCAAATCATGTATATATACGTGAATTAAAGATGGCTAACATACTGGATATATATATATCAGTTAAACCTACAATGCAACAAATAAATAAATTTCGACAAAACACATCTACTTAAAAAACTTTATACACCGTTGAGCAATTGAAAAATAGTTACCTTCGTTAGATCACATTCTAACAAAAGGTGACTTATGTATGTTAAACATAAAAAGCAGACTCACCATAACGAAAGTTACATATATTGAAATCTTATTGACACCAAACAATCAAGTATATTATTTGTATCCCTAACATATTCGTCATGAAAATAACATTTTTCAAGGTTAAATAGAAATAATTCATATCACTTATAATGTAGTATATACAATCACAGAACATTATGTTTGTGAATGTAATTTTCTAAAGTCTGCACCTTGATAGATACAAATACGAAATACATGTTGAGATCACAATATGAATTAGTACTGTTGCCGTCACTTCACCTAAAGATGCTCGCTGACCGAAGCTATTATTTCATTTTTGTATTGGTTGCTTGAATCTTCCGATCGATGTTTAGTATTGCAATTGATCAGTCTCTTATTGGCATATGTGCATCCTGTAAGGATTGTCTCGACATTACTAGCCACCATCCATCTTTGATCAGATTGCTTTTAACTGATGGCGATATCGAGGCAGTCCTTACGGGATGCACATATGCCAATAAGAGACTGATCAATTGCAATACTAAACATCGATCGGAAGATTCAAGCAACCAATACAAAAATGAATTAAACTTCACGCCGTCGCACAAGCTAGTGGTTATCAGGGCTCAGTAGCTACATGGATAACACGATGCGTTTGGAGCAAATGGTACTGGGTTCGAGTCCCGTAGTGAACATCAACTCGGATGTGCAGGTACATCCAGCGGACGAGTCCCAAACAAAACGAAATGCGCATTCTAGATTCCACTGATAACTACTATCCATCTTTTCATATAAACTGTTAGTATTTAAAACATTTAAGGACTTGACTACTGAGTTAATTTAGATAATTACATTTAGAAATTAGTTAGATTCGGTAAAGTGATTCGCATACACTTCCCTGTAACGTCAGATGTCTGATTTGTCAAAAATAATATCGAGGAAAACCCTAATCACATCACAGCTTTGTAATACTCAATGATCAAAGTACTTGAACAACATGTGAGAGAAATATTATTACCGAGGGACTATACATTTCGTAACATCCGTTAATAAATTATGAACAGCGAATTTTATACCATGATTCATAAGCCATTTGTTTTTTCATCTTTTCCAACTGATAGGCAAATAAAGGCAGACCTTCACTCACAAATGAACCATCCAGCTCAGAGAAAGAAACTCGTCAAAGATTACTGTTGAATTTCGACATTAAAGGAAGATTTTTAAACGCCATACTACTTAATAACCGGTCATTTTAAGTGTTAGGAAGCGAATCGAATTGTCAGGTAATAACAATGACACACAGAGTCTAATAAAACACAGAATCATAGGCATAATAATTTATGACAATAGTAGTAGGCAGGACTAAATCAAAAAATCGATGGCAGTTAATAAGTGCGCTGTTTCTATTGAAGATGAAATATCCTTAATGATCAGTCGTTCCAAAAAACTATTTACAGTAGAATTTAAATATGTTAATTTATAGTTAATTACAAAATAAACCCAAATTATATTTTGTGAAATAGCACGGACTTTTTGTTGTGTATATATCGATGCTTAAAATAAGAGTAATAATTCAAAATCCGAACTTACATGGTCCCACCAACATTCTGAGAAATTTGGCAACTGATGCTCTAATGAGTATTCTAATACTTCAAAAGCAAAACTTAAGACGTTGCATATCCAATAATCTCGGAGGATTAATGTTTTAGCCCACCAGCCAACAAAATGAACTGTCACGAAACCATCCATTTTTGACTAGATTTCCAGAAAAAAAAAACTATTTGAGATCAAATGTGTTTTATCAAGACAGTCGATAAATATCTGTTACACATCATGTTATTGTAAAAATACACACTCATATAGTGAGTAAAAGATATTGGATCAAAAATGCATTACAAGCTGGATAATTTGATAAAAGCCGTAATTATCTTAAGAATTCATTAGTTGCTAGTATACTAGTGATTTAGAATAGTGAAATAAAATTAATGATAATATCGATAATTTTATCCCATACGATTACACCTAACATAAAAGGAGACTAGTTGTGAAGCGCCATTTCTTATTCCGATGGTGATTAATGTGACAAGAGTCCAGAACGCATACGCCTGACGCTAATCACACACAACCCTTATGTAAATATATTTGGCTGCATCAACTACGTAATATTCGGACTTAATCTCCTACTCCGAAAATCCATGAAGAAACGGAGCATGTGTATTTTAAGGGTTAACCTTTTCTCTCTCTGTAGAAAGTAGTATCCTTGAAGATGAGTTTTGTGTGAGGTACACCTTTCTAATATTATACCGCAGTACTGTCTGGAATAGTTGGGCTGGCTATTCTCTTTCTACTATTAAACTCATCCGGTTGATATGGTGAAAAATGAAGCTAAATGTTTTATGCTGTATGTAATCTGGTAAAAAATTAAGATCTAGACAAATGGTTAGACGTGTTTTCTTTGTTTTATTATTTTCGTATTTAAACATAAACTAAGTGTACAACTAATGAGCACAGCTTGATTATGAAATTTACACAAGATAATTTTTACAGTAGCATTAAGAATTAAAAGAATTTAAACTAGATATAAACAGTCAGTAACCCACTTGATATACACAAGTAAATTAATTCTTATTTGCAATAAAAAATTTATTAATCATTCTAATAGATTAAATATATTTTTTCCTGAAACAAGAAAAACTACTAGTATTATCATGTTGACTTGAAGAGTCACGTACGCAAGTACATTTTTGTTGTTGTTGTTGTTGTTGTCGGATAAGTATAATATAAATAAGGCTTACATAATGATGAATTATTATCATTATTACTATGCATAATCTATATCGGTAAGTCAGTAATCACTTTTCATAAAATAATAAGTAAAAAATTTTGCATTTGTCATAAATAGAAAAAAAAAAGATTCTACCGTTAAATATAATAAATAACAATAATTATATGATATTAAGCAAATATTATTGGATAACGTTTGTAAAACCGTATATAATTAAGAGAAAAGGTAGAAATATTTGCATTATAGAAAAAATATTGATCGTAAATTGACTATACAACCATATCAGAAAATCAGCAGAACTGTTTCATTCAAACTAAATTGAATCGAAATACCAGTACACGGCAAACAATTTCTTCACAACTCAAAAGGTATGTATTGACCAACCTACACGTTTACCATGAAAAGACAAATAATAATTTTTTTTTCAAATAAATACTTGACCTGAAAGCTTCAATAATAAAACAGATTTGCATGTCCAAGACAAGGATGAAACTAAAAATCTATAGATGACACATCAACAATTAAAAGTAGAAGCTAAGAGAACACCAAACGCAATTATCATACTTGGAAGCTGACAGATGGAGAAGTTGATTAAGTGCATGAATTTAGAAGTCTAGCCAACAGTATGAAGATACAAAGGAATAAATTTTATTTAGTAACGTTTACCGTCCAGCAATCATGAATTCAATGTTTTCAGTTCACAACAAAAAAGTATGGTACTGTATTTATGGGACTATATAGTTTATTTAAATATGTATTCACTATCATGCTATACTACGCTACTGATTCCAACTTACATTCCATAAACCGATATATCTGCTTTGACAAACTTTGATGTGTATATCTATCGTTTATGAGCGTCAAATGAGAAGTAACACTAATCAAACGTTTATTTGATCCTTACTTCTATTTTATTATTTGTAGTTTTATTTGTTTGAATTTGTAAGTGTAATTCTATACATGGAAAGTCATGTTCGTGTCTTTTAGCAATCTTTTCTCATAGTTACTCAGCAAGTTTACTTCTTCACAAATCATGGGGTAAGTGAAAAGTAGCATACATTACATTTGTGTGTGTGGATAAATTTATGATATCAACAAAGATTAACAAATATATGAGCAATCTAAATGTTAATTGGAATACCATAAATAATAACATAGAATAGGCATAATTGTATAACGGTACAAAACCGTGATGAGAAAATTAAAACGATGAGAACTATGAAAGCAAAAAACAAATTACTACAAAAAGAAAGCAGAGGGGAATACATCAAAGATCACTAAAGACTACATGTTTGGAATATCAGCATCACTCTTTACTTTCAGACTATAAAAACTATTAATAGTTTCCTAAAAATAATTTACAATGTAAAAGAACACAATTTTATGATTTATTAATTTAAAAAGTTTATGATTTAGATGTATTGAACAACTTTTTTAGATTCATACTATCTATTTTGATTATACCAGTTCAGGAATTAAACACTAAAACAAAAATAAAGATTTACTTAATCTTTAGTCATGTATCTTAAACACGAACTGACTTTTTCTAAGGACAATTACAGGACAACTGTTATGAGTACTGATTAACAAGAAGTCTCAAAGAACGAATAGACAAATGCTTAAGCGACCAATTACTATTACTGCTATTTACACAAAGTGTGTGTTTGTATCAATCAGATCTCAGTAAGTGATTTAGGCACATATTACTAGTATACTGGTATGTACAACAGAGATAACACAAAAATGTGAATAAATAGGTGGTTGGAATTAACTTTTTGAAATAAACTAAAAATCACCTGATTTTTTCATCAATTAACACGCATTAACTCTTGACAATTGATTCAGTTTAGTGTTAAATTGGAAATAATAAAGCTCATAAATATTTTATGAACGAAAAGAATTTCTCAGAACTTTTGAAATACACAAAGCATCATTTCAATTTTTATTGCAAGAGTAGCACTGATCATTTATTATTTTCTTCAAACGTATCTTTGCATACCAATATTGATAAGAACAAAAGTCTGTTTACGTGATGAAACAAATTGAATTGAAAAGCCGATAGATATATATAGGCATACCTAATTTTCATGCAATGTCTACACCTAGTTATGATAAAGTTGGCATAGTTACCAAAATTGGCCATACTCCACATTAATTGGATGTCAGTCAAATTATGACAAGGACTGTGAAGTTATAGTACAAGGACAAATCGATTCAATTGAAGTAAGATTTTTAGCATTAAAAAAGGATTTCATAGGGCGTTTTGTTAAGAGATTTTAATAGCTCGAAAGGAAAAGTAGTTACTGTTCTACTCTGACAAAAGTAGGACCATTGAAAACTAGATCCTTCAATGTGATATTCATTAACAATGTAAAAACCCCAGAGCTCACAGAATCGAGTCCAAAGCTTTAAAGTGAACGACAATAACTAACGAGAAATCAAAGCTTATATATTAACTATTTATTCCAAACAAGAAGTATGTTTAATAAATTGAATGTTTATGCACTTTTCCAGTGTCTGCAGCTTACAATGTGACGTACTTACTCATTAATAATAGCAAACACCATTACTGCTAATGTGGTATATGCCACTTATGTCGACAGACATAAGTAGGATGTAATACCGATCGAAAGTGAAAAACCTGGCAGCAGAGGGCTAAGAAAATCAAGTTGGAGAGAATAGAGGGGAAGATAGAAAGGAATTAGGAACTAAGGAATAATACAGAACGTGAAGGACAAGTGATGGAAATTTGCCAACGAAGTATTCAGTGTACGTTCTCTATATTTTACCAAGATATCCTGGTTTCCCCCACCTATGTTCTCATTCATTACACTACTACAACTAAAAATTATACTACAAAAATATCACAAAGATAAGCAACACCTAATCATCAATCAAAGTAATTCTGTTCAAACGACAGATTGTGTTGGACAGACTGACACAAACAACAATTAATAGACTATACATACTACACATACATTAATACACATATACATTTCCCTGTATACTAAAGTGTCTTTTTTTCTAATCAGCGAAGCCCTGAAACCCTATTATAGTGCATACTGGCCCACTATTGTAATATTGATCTGAAACTAACTTATATATTTCTGTGCATAAAAAATCATACAAAAAAACTTGGAAGGATGCATGTGATTAGCCTTAACACATATATGACATATACATACGTGAGCATACAAAAAGACGAACCCATAGGTTATAAAAAATTGGCAATAAATGTAACACGTTAAATACTGACGATGACATTGTGCCATGGATTGTCTGGTTTATCCCAATCGTATATTCGGCAATTCCCACCATAATCCTTTTCTTCCAAAGGTTTACCAAGCTCTGAGTCTAAGTAACGTAACCACTGACGAGCATCGTCTACACTCTATATAATGGAATAATGTAAAAACAGTATACAACAGCGAAAACCATGACATGAGACACAACAGTCAAAATTATAATAGAGAGCAAACAATTGAATGAAGGAACAATTTTTAAGGGTATGTATATACAAGTAATATAAACGAACTTTGGGAATGATAACCAGAAAGAAGTAACCACTAACGATCCATCAAGTCAAATTTAATTCATACCAGTTGACATCTTTTCTCCAGTGATAAGATCCAAAATCGACAACCAAATCACCATAATAAAAAGCTTAAAACCAGTATTAAACGATCGAAAATATCAAAAAGGAGATCAGTGTATTATTTGCACTTATTTGTGAGCGATTTTACCCACCGACATCAAGTTATTCAAATACGTTTGAATAATCTCATTCGATAAAATATAAAACGATTATAATTACGTTTCAGCTGCGCTTTACCAATATCCCAAGTAACCATGAAATAATAATTTCCGGTTGGTATACTTTTATTGATGGCAAATCAAATGAGTGAGTTAAAATTGAGTAGCAGCCCAGGGAAATAATTCAGATATGGGTTTTATTTTTATCACTGAAACAGTGAAGCATATTGTTAGCGGGTTTAAAGCATGTTCCGTGCAGAAATATGTTGGGGCAACCTGATTAGCTATTTCCTAACCAATCGGCGCTAGCAGATTTGGAGAAGTCTCTGGAATCTTATGTAGAAATTATAAATATACTAATGTTTATCTTATTGTGATTACTACTTCCATCTACCCTCGTTATTTGGAATATAATTTCGTTCCTGTTAAACCGTGTTTTGATTTGAGGAATTTTCGAGTGAAGTAGTGTCCAAGAATACTAAGCAATAAGAGTGAACGGGTCGTAATACCAGAAATCATAACGACGAGGAAAAAAGGAAAACACATTCACGATACCGATATCAGATAACCAGCTCAACCGAATATTACAACAGTAAGCACAATGTGGTTGTTGGAGACTGACAAAATAGCTTAACATCTACTGCTCGAGTTCAGACGCCATTCCAAATACTTCTTTTGATGCAGTAGCCAGCAGTATCTCAAAGTTCAACTATAATCCCCAAAGTCGGAATACCTTGCTCACGTGGTTCAAGCGTTAAGAAGATACATTTAGAATAGGATTCTGAAAACAAGATGTCGCGTGGAAGATTGGATTGTTGATGTATACATTGGAAAGCAATGAAAATGCACGGTATACTGACCATATATTGCCGAATCTACCTCGAGAGTTCAGTTTCGAAGAAATGGTAACTTAATTGTCAGACACATTTGGTGAATCCTCATCACTGTTTAGTATTCGATATCAGTGTCCAAATTTGGTGAAACACGAAGCTGATGAATTTGGTGCTCTAGCAGACGTCGTCAACAGAGAGTGCGAATGGTTCAAGTTACGCTCATTGACAGAAGACCTATTTAAATGCCTAATATTCATTAAAGTTCTTCAGTCACCAAAGGTGCTGAGATCACGAATAGACCTTGAACTTGACGGGATCAAGATGTAAACGTCACACACAGTACATTGAAAGATAAGAGTAAACGGCTACAAAACATCAGACACGACAATGAGTTAAGTGAACAGGTAAATCCGAGTTTAACCTGCAGTAGTGTCAACGCTATTACTAGGTTAAATGCTCAGAAACCGATAACAACTTCTAACAAACCAATGATTGCCTATTGGTTATGTAGTGATTGGCATTACGTACGATTCTGCCCATTTAAGAAGTCTAAATGTCAGGTGTGCAACAGACGTGAACATAAAGGTCATTGTTCAGTGAATCGTACGGCCCAACCCAAGAAACATAAACGTCCTCAACACGTGGTGAAACCAGTCGAATACAAAGCTCTTTCTCAGGTAGGAGTTTACCAAACAGACCATGAAATTCGGAGAAAGTATGTTGCTATCCAAATTAACGGTATATGAAGTCTTCTTCAAATTGACACAGCATCCGATATTACCTAAGTGTCTAGAAAAACCTATAACCTGTTTGGGAAACCGCTAATGAAACCATCTATGAAGAGTGCTAAAACTGGTTGGCGAATCACAGTGTGAATTTTCCTTCAATGGAGCTAACTGTAGATGAATATGCTAACAGAACGGTCGAAACTTGATCTTAATTTAGGTATGCTAGAAAAACTCGGAAGAATGGATATACTCACTAACAGTGTCTACAACGTGTTGTGCTCATCATCTTGCAAAAAGATAGGTAAAGGTTGTTAGAAAAGCTGAAAAGAAATTTTGCCTGTTTTTTTTTGGAATAGCCTTGGTCACTGCACCAAGATGAAAGCTCATTTACCAATGAAATCAGATACCAGACAGGTTTCTCACTCAAGACGTCCTGTACCGTATGCTGCTCTTGAACTAGTTAAGTGTTTTACAATAAGCTGTTGTAATCCAACCAGTTAACTACTCTGTATGTGCCGCACTGATCGTAGTGATTAAGAAGGTCAACGGAACTATAAGCATATGTGCCGATTTCTCAACCGGTTTAAGCGCTGCATTGGAAGTATATCAGTATTCGTTACCAGTTCCTGAAAACCTGCTTGCTAAGCTTAATGGTGGGACACGTTTCGAGAAAATAGACTTCTCCGATATATATGTGCAAGTGGAAGTAGATGATGATTGTAGATAGCTTCTTACTATCAAAACTCGTCGAGGGTTATATCAATATAACCGCCCACCATTCGGTATCAAGACCGCATCTGCCATTTTTCAGCAACTGATAGATAAGATATTAACAGGTATACCTGGAACAGTAGCTTATCTAGATGATATCATAGTTATGGCAGTGAACTTTCTGATCGACTACATCAAGTTCTCAACTGAGTGATGGAGTATGGTTTCTAACTACGTGAAGGAAACTGTATCTTTATCGTCCATTCGATCAAATACCTTGGTTTCATCTTAGATAAGAACGGTCGCCAACACAGAAGCCATTCAGAAGGTGCCTGCACCAACTGATGTCGCTTCATTAAGATCCTTCCTTGGATTACTTAGTCATTACTGCACATTTCTGCTTGAAATGCACCAAATGAGATGTCGCCTGAATGAAATACTATCAAAAGACAAACCTTGGCAGTGGTTAGCATGATGTCAATCATCTTACGACAAAGTCAAATCAATGCTCAGCTCAAAGCTTCTTTTAACACACTTCGATCCCAGTTTGGGAATTTTTGTTGCCCCTAGTAATGTAGTTGGAGCAGTGATATCTCACGTGTTTCCGAACAAGTCAGAGCAGCCAATTGCTCATGCTGCTAGATCGCCCAACCCTGTTGAACGGAACTACAGCCAAATTGAAAAAGAAGCCCTTACAATCAATTTTGTTGTTAAAGGATTAAATAAGATGCTTTATGGCCGTACGTTTACCCTGCTGACAGACCACAAATCTTCAATTGCCATTTTTTTCTAAGAAAGGAATCCTTCTTTATACGGCTAACAGACTACAGCTCTGAGCGACAATCCTCCCGAGTTATGACCTCAATATCAAGTGTCAGTCAACAAATACTTCAGTCAAGCTGACGCTCTCTCTCGAATAATTAGAGATCAACACCCTGGACAGGAGGACATGATCATTGTCTCAATAGTAGATCCAGAAATAAGGTGTGTAGTAGCAGAGGTCATTTAAAACACTTGATTGTCATCAAATGAAGTCAGAGAAAAAAGCTTCTCCACACCCAGTCATACTTACGCCTGTTACTCCCAATTGGGCATAGGCCGCCGACCAGCATTCTCCATTTCACTATGTCCTGGGCCTTTCTTTACAGTTTTATCCACTTTCACTCTTCCCATGTCTGTCTCCATTTCTCGATGTAATGTGTTCTTTTGTCTTCCTATCCTCCTTTGGCCTTCAGGATTCCATGTGAGGGCTTGCCTTATGATACATCTGGGTGCCTTCCTCAATGTGTATCCTATCCACTTCCAGCGCTTCTTCCTGATTTCTTCCTTAACTGAGATCTGGTTCGTTCTCTCCCATAGTAGGTTGTTGCTAATAGTGTCTGGCCAACGGATCCGAAGTATTTGGTGTAGACAACTGTTAATAAACACCTGTATCTTCTGGATGATGGCTTTCGTGGTTCCCCAGGTTTCCGCCCCATACAGTAGAACTGTCTTGACATTTGTATTGAAAACCCTGACCTTGGTGTTGGTTGATAGTTGCTTTGAGTTCCAGATGTTCTTCAGTTGTAGATATGCTGCTCTTACTTTGCCGATCCGCGCCTTCAATTCTGCATCAAACCCACCGTGTTCATCAATGACGATGCCCAGATATGAAAAGGTTTTTACATCTCTCAATCTTCTCCGTCAATTGTGATTGGATTGATGCATGCTGTGTTGTATCGGAGAATCTTACTTTTTTCTCTGTGTATGTTGAGACCTACTGCTGCTGAGACTGCTGCTACACTGGTCGTTTCCTCCTGCATTTGTTGTTGCGATTGCGATAGGAGGGCCAGATCATCTGCGAAGTCTAGATCGTCCAACTGCATCCTAGACATACATTGTATCCCGTGCTTCCCCCCAGATGTTGTCTTCATAATCCAGTAGAGTAGATCAGCAGGAGAAAGAGAAAGGGTGAGAGTAAGCAATCTTGCCGGACACCGGTCTTTACTTCGAACGAGTCTGTGGGCTGTACTCCATGCACGATCTTGCAGTTTAATCCATCATAGGAATTCCTTATGATATTGACTATCCTTTCAGGTATGGCGTACTGTCGAAGAAGCTTCCATAGTGTTGACCCAGTCTTATAAGAAGTTAAATAGTTCCACATATAAGGGTGGCAATTGAAGATCAGCCCACAGAACTTCAGCAGTTTTACCGGCGCAGACCATTTCAATCATCGATGACTGGCTTCTGTTTGTCGAACGTGTCATAATCCCAAAGAAGATGCAACCAGCAGTGCTTGAACAGTTGCACACAGAACAAACTGGAACAAATTTCATGAAAGCACTAGCACGAAGTTATGTTTACTGGTCGCACTTACACACTCGACTGAAGCAGCTATTCCGTTTGTGTACCACATACACATTAGCAACAAAAGTACCAAGGAAAACATAGCTGCAACCATGGTCAATACCACAGTCACTGTAGCAACGTATGAACTTAGACTTCGCTGGCTTACTTCATGGACATATTTACCTCTTGGTAGTTGGTACATACAGCAAGTGGCCAGAAATTCTTCTCATGGAACATCGAACTGCAAGCTCCACAATAAAAAAAAATTACGTCAACTAATAAGTCGTTTCGAGGTCCCAGTATTAATAGCTAGAGACAATGGAACACAGTTTACGTCTGCTATCTTCTTAGAATTTCGTTGGTGGAACAGGATCAATTATGCCGAACATCTCCATTCCATCTTCGATTCAATGGCCAAGTAGAACGCCTTGTTGGTACACTTATAAATGCTCTGAAGAAATCAAAAGAGAAGGGGACAACCGGAGAGAGAGAGGTCCCTACTTATCTATCGTTTTGTGCCAAATCCTCAAACAATTTATAGGGTCTCTCCATCAGAAGCTTTACTTGGGAGAATAATACGACCACACTTTGACGCCATTCATCCGACGCCAGCTTTTGAGCCTCGACGAAACAGATTGATGGGAAAGCAATTCAATCGACATCATGAGGTGCAAAGAAGATTGTTCACCCTGGATTAAAGTGTATTTGTTGTGGACTATCGTGGCAAACACTCTACATGGATACCTGGTCGAATCGTGCAAAAGAAGTGTCAGTTGGCTCAAAAGTTTGGGTGCGTCATGCTATCCAACTGAAAGCAACTTCGACCTCCAGCAACGAGACTCAACACAGAATACCTCCTGATGTTCTGTTGGACACCTTTGAAATCGAAACTCCTGAACCAGACAGGCTAATCTTTGTGCAACCAAAGGGTAATACCACTTCTTTATTTCCTAAAGGGTGGAAAAATCGAAAGCACAGATCAGTCACGCGGATGCATTTCCACGGTTGGTGAAGATTGATAGCCTTAACAACTCTCCTCTTCTTTTCATCAAATATCCTAAGCATAAACCTTACCATTACTCATTTGATGTTCCAACCAAACGTGAGGAATCCTTCAAAGACTGATATGATTAAACAGTTCCATTCCAAATACGTTTTTAAGTTTCGTTGGACATATCTTACAGACGTGTAGTAATAAAAATTGGATTGTGTCGCCTTTTGTCTTACTGGTCATTTTTACCCCAAAAGTTACTTACCGTTGTTCATAGCTTGTTGTTAATAAATAAGTTTTGATTTTTCAGTGTAAAACTTATCTTTTTGACAAAAAACATCCCTTTCATATGACGGCTCGAAATTTGATCAAATATTTTGTGCTTAAATAAAGTGATCAGTGGGAAACCTTGCACTTAAAGGAGTTATTATACGACTTTTTAACATTTTGTAAGCTTATAATCCATTTAGAAAGGATTAGTTAGTGGTAAATCATTATCTGTTGACATATATTCCTCTGTATTTTGAGGAACATATCTCAAATGACACATGTAATTAATTATCGCCTTAGCCATCCAAACGACCAATGATAGTTTTAGTGTATTTTTCATGACAAGAGTACAACTCTTAGACGGACATTTTATAATTTCAGTTATATGAAGCCGGAGGAATATAAATCAGCATTGTTTTAAGTAGCACACAGTAATAAACTGAGTTCGAAATAAAATTCGTCATTTAATCAACCTAGTGATGAAAAGAAATAGAAATCCGCATAAATATTGAAATTCGTGCACAAGTTTAGAAGGTAAAATGTTGATCAATTAAGGCTTTCCTTCCCCAAACACGATAAACAAAAGTGACCTAATGCTTGGGAAAACAAGTTTATAAATCTTTAGAACAGTAGTTGCGCACCGAATTGAGTATAAGCAACTCAATACAAGCACTGGGCAATTGATATTTGTTAGTAAATGGTTCGCATTTAAATATCGTTCAAAACTAGTAAAACTGGAATCCACTTCATACTACTTACTTGAAATAACAGGAAGACTAGTATAAGCTCATATAAAATGCTAAGACAGAGTATAAAGCGCCAAAATGCTGAAAAAAAAGTTAAATTATAACTGATGAAACGATATAACATGTAAATTATGTGTATTGAACATATTTCATACACAAATTATACATAGGCACCAATCAAGGCACTACTAAAATATTTCCATTAACATTGGTAATGTGACTAATGTTTTACAAATTTTAGAGGCTGAGCAAAGGAGAGTTATAAAACATGTATGTCTTAATTTCAGAATTTGGAATCAATTTAGACACGTCTTAAAGAACGCAGAATCCCCACAAGGATCTTATATCCGACTTTGATAATTATATGAACTAGGACTCACTAGTGAACAAGCAACAATTATTAAGCTGTCGGAAACCCTTGTGTCTAGGTCATTTTAGACACCGAAGGCTGTTTAACAAAAGTAGCGAAACTTAGAGAGTTTTGAATTATAAGTGTTTGTTAGCAGAAGGGTCAGTGCTTTATTATCGTTCGTAAAACGTCAAATTCGTGTGCTGTTACGGGTATGAGGGCTGATGTCACTTCCCGGCTGCCCACACTGAGGAAGGGTATTTCTTGAGGAACCTGAAAAGGAAATTGGATTAGTGTTGGTCTTGACGACCTGGGAGTGTGACCGCAGAGCCCAAGGGACAACTGCTTGAGGTCGGTCGCGCACGGCCTTTTCGTGGGAGGTTTTTGACGTGTTAGCTCCGTTCTTCAAAGGGCCTTACCGCCGGAGACGGTGAGGTGTGCATTTTTAGGGTCGACCTATTCTAACCCCGCCCCTCCTTGTGGGAAGGCAGCATCGCTGTCATGCTGGTTGTCCCAGGGAAACACCTTACTGCTGTCACACCTCTCTACAGTCGGCAGTACGACTTCGCCCTCAGACCTTGAGTTGCTGCCTTTTAGTCTTACCGTTCGCCAATCGACCTGCCTGGCATGGTAGAACCTGCAGGAACATATGTTCCAGCCAATATAGCTCGGTTGGGTCATCACGATAGGCAAGCCCGACCACCGCGTCAAGGTAGCGGCTTCGGTCGGGAAACGTCAAATTAGTCTTAGTAAAAACGTCAAATTAGTATTTACTAAGACTCATCTGAAAGAATCTGAAAATATAAAAGCAATTACTCCAGCTATAGGTTATATACTAAGTGCAGAATTATGTGCTCGGCTTTTAGCTACACTTTGTGTGGGGGACTGTGACACTATCCGGTTCTAAAGATATTATTCCCCATCATCAAAACTCTTCTAAATTTCATTGGCTTTGTGATACACTCGAATATCTATTTGAAAACGCCATCCATGTGCCCACTAAATTACGGAAAGTGCAAAGGATGATAGGCAGGATTATCGCCGATAATAATAATTAGAAAACGGGACAAAATATTTGAAAGTGAAAATAACACTCTGAAAGGCCAAATTTATACTTGTTTAAGCTTTGGTTATTTGTCAACCAAATAAAAGTTGTCTGTGATAGTGATAACGTCTTTCTAGCACTTGCCGCTAGTGAAAAGACGACAACGAAAGCTAATGTCAAGTCACAGATATTTAAGCACATATTTTACGAAATATTTATATGTTAGGACTACCGGGTTGAGTAAGATGAACTCAATTATAATTAGTGTACAGGGCTCTGAACCCACAAAGAGAGGTCCACAAGTCATGAAATTCATTTTTACTGACCACCTTCCACAGCTTTTAAAGCTGACTGATACAAAAGACTGGGAAAGGGTTGGGATCGATAAGGGTGAGATAGAGTGTATGTTTATGTCATTTGATCATTTCTTGATGTTATGTACAGAATTGTTTGATGCTTGCTCGTGTTATAGATGTAGAGCATTACCGAGCAACCTGAGTAGTCATGGCTTAAAATGAGTCCAAATCGTGGCAGAAAACTTACTTAATATGGTTGTGTAATTTTAAACTAGCTTACCACTGTACTTCCGTTTTTTTAATTTTATTTAAAATTATTTGAAAAGCGTACCAGGTGCTTCTAAAATATGTTGAGGCATAACCCATAGAATGATGTGCAAGCTTCTCATTTGTATATCAAATCATCATTAATGGATTTTACACTATCTAGATACTACACCAGTGCAGGATATATTTATGAAATTAGACAAGATCCTGTGTACCAAAGTTACATATAACTGGTCAACAAACAACTGTATGTTCATTACTTGCCTCTTTTTATTTTGTAAATATTTCAACCGATCTGTTGATACAAGAAGTGGTAATCTGTGAAGACACACATTCATGCTAAACCTCATATCGATGATGAGTAGTCTATGCAAAGCGTTTCATTAACATAGTCAACACTCGCAATCTATAAACTTATTGACAAACTTTGTAGCTGTCATTTTGAGGTCGGATCCGGAACGTGTTATGAAATGATTGCCTTGTAAAGATGCAATCTTATAACACCCGACTTAGCAAGACATTTTGTTAGCAGGTTAATTTCACGTATATGAGGGAAATGAAGATGACAGCTACATGTACACCCAAACCGGATAGTCATCTTACAGAGATGCTATTCCCCGGTTAAGCTGATACACTACTGAACCGGAATCGAGGGTCATTTCGATTACGCCTCTCAAGAAGCGTAACATTCATCATAACTCTGGGTAACCTTGCAAGTGATACTTCATGAAATGTTTGGAACGCTTATGATCCATAAGAATCTCTTGCTACATAATACAGGAGTGACGCAATATGAATGACCAGAACATACGTAATCCCTACTTGTTTTCATACAAATGATACACGAGATGTACAATAATCAGGACAAGTAAATTTCCCTTATTAATGAGACACTTATACTAAAGAACAAGCACTAACTCGCTAATTAAATTTTATCGTAGATATATGAGATGTTTGAGTTGCTTGAGGATATTCAACTCTTAAAGTGGGATGTCTGCATTAACAAGATTACACTAGTCGATTTTAGACACAAAGACGATCAACACTCAATGACTACATCCACTCAAACACACCATGAAGTTCAATTAAACACTACATATTTTGAAGGAAATATAACACAGCATACTTTAGTTTGGATTCAGACAGGTTTGACAAGTAATCTGAAAGGAATGTCTACAAATGAAAAAAGTTAAAAAGTTAACTCACCAGGATGTGGTCGGAGAAACGGGCCGTCTGGTGTATGCAAAACTCCAAACAAGACAAATACCATGATAACCGCGCTAATACCACTTTGACAGAAATCACTTCTTTCGAATCAACTTACCGTTTCATATTGTATTCGGAAGAATAATTGCCATTTTCTAGCAAGGCAACGTAGATGAGAATACATGCAAATATGAACAAACACAACACAGTATGAGTATTCCTTAGTTATAAGAAACAAGAAACATAAATGAAATACCAGAAAAACGTGGAGGTTCCATCATCGTAAAAGTCTTTCGTCCTGTTCTTTTCATCCTCCCAGTTATATGCAGTTTGATAATGTCCTGAATGCATAAAAGTACTTTGGATGCTGTTTTGTTTGTTATTTCTCTCCAAATACTTCTCGCGAAGATCGTCAGAACGACACGGCTTTTTCATGATATACGAAAAGTAGCCGAAGATGCAAGGTCATCGAACAAAAAAGTGAGATACTAAAAGGATCGACAAGATTTATGCCGAGTATTTAGACCTTTAAAAAGGTGGTCATTCAATATACACTGTTTGTGTGTCACACCAGCATTAATTTATTCAGATTTCGTGATTTATTGTAAGGAAGAAGCATCCGGAATTTCGGCAGCCTCTGGTGATGTTAATCTAGTCGCATACGTTCAACAGATACTTAAAACTTGAAATACCTTGGAAGTATGTTCGTTCAAGGAGATTGGTAGTTAACATGTTATTGGTTAATCTTACGCATTGTCATATCAAATATTGCAAATAGACGAATGTAAATGAGTGAAAAGACTGCAAGCAAACCAACGCTTCTACCATTTCAGTGCTATTAAGTGTGATTTTGTCTATATTGTGCCTTAAGTTCTAGAAAAATTTTTCAATAAAAGGATTATAGTAATGATGAATAGAAGTGAAGCATACCACGTCGATCTCAGCTCTAAATAGGACAAAGGCATGAAGGTTTCGAACGTTGAGTTTGCTTTATTATTACTGCGTCTTCGGAAGAAACCACCATCTCGCTTCACTGTATAAATTCAGATTTGTACAGTAAAAACAGAGGGCTAACGGCCGATGTTATTTCTTTTCTAGTACGCTTCTGTGGATATCCCGTGTTTTCTTGAATGTGTCAAGTGAACGTGCGGATACCACTACCTCCAGTAACAGGTCCCAGGGACCGATGACTCGGCGTGAAAACCTGTATTCTGTTTGTTTCTGGCCTCCCTACTCGCCTGCTATGTTCTCTATTTGTCCCAATCTGATAGGAAGAAAAAGAGAGGATATATTAGGTCCAAAATAGCTTCTTAGTATCCCATACATTGAAGTCAGATAACCTCTTGATCTGCGATAAGACAGAGTAAAGTGGTCTAGCTTTTCAAGCCGCTCTTTGTATGGTTAACTCCAGAGTTCTGGAATTGCATGGGTAGCTGCTCAGTATAGTTTTTCTGGATGTCCAAGTCACATTTCAAACATGGGCTTGAAGCCTGAGTGCAGTTACCAAGCTCAGTCCTCACCAAGCCTCAGTCTTAGGAGCACGACCCACTGTCACCCCATGACACATATGGGACCGAACCACAAGTACAATCGCTTCCTCTATGCTGCATCTATTTACCTTTGTATTCTTAGAATGCATGTAGACAAACTTTGCCGCATTGATAGGCTTTAGACACTATTTAGACCAACTAATTACAATATTCGAAACCGCCTGAAGTACTCATGCATCCGCATATTATATTATTTCTCGCCAGGCTTTTACATCATCAGCGTGTTATGGCTTTAAGGACTCAACTATACGTTGAGGTTCATTTACACACATTGTAGAAAGTAAAGGACTTAGGACAGAACCTTGCGATAATTCAATAAGTACTCGTCTCCTGATGAAGCACTTTGAATTCACTCTTGCTTTCGCCTTACGACCTACCATGAAATACTTGAGACATTTTAGGAGAAGTCCGGTAATGCTAAGATTTTCCAGTTTCAAAAACAGTCTATTTGTTGGCACCTCATCAAATGATTTGCTGAAGTATATGTTAACAACATTCACTGCTTATCCATTGTTCAGAGCCTCTATCTATCCCTCTCTTGTTATAAGGAAATTTGTTGCATAAGATAAACCTTTCCTTCAACGGCATATTTTGCTGTTGAAAAAGTTATTGGTTCCCACCCATGTCATTATCGACTTTTTGACGATTATTCCCAGTATCTTAACTACGACACTCGTAAGGCTGACATCTCTGTGGTTCGATCGAAAGTTGTCATAGTTCTGTTTTATGTAATGGAGTGACGACCAAATTCTTTTATTCCGTAGGTAACATACCTTAACGAAGCGACATATTGAACATAGTAGTCAATGGAGCAGTAATATATTGTGCAGTTTATTACGAGATTTCAGAATGTAGTTCATCCGGTTCTGTTGACATTTCTGTCTCTAAAGTGCCAATAGCCTTAAGTACATCGACTTTGTCGAAGTCCACAGTAAGCAGATGGTTTGTTGATTGTGTTTAAGTCTAGCTGTTCGTCTAAAAGACGTGTAGAAATACGGTTTATCTCGTTATTAGTACTTCTCTAATAATATGCTTAATCCTAAAATTGTAGATTTGTAATGACATAACTGTGTAATCTATAAGATCTTACGTGGAATTCACATCTTCGTCTACACTAACTCATCGCATCGTTACGATTACCAATACATGATGGAGAACAAGCTTAAGCTAGAGATATGACAAAATATTTAATATGAATAAGAGAATTAAGATAGCATTCAACAGGGACCACGCCTCCAAGGCCGAACAATGCCATCCGATCAACCCGAATTAATTCAACACATTGTTCCCACCCTCTCCATCGTTGGGTTTTTCCTCGCCTTAAGTGTTAACTATCTATTTTTCCAGTTGTCTCGTGTTCAGCTTTGAGGATTGTGTGGTTAGTGCCCAATACCACTATACTACTCTCCCACCAGAATAAACGTGATTCTGGTTCGATACCAAATTGAATGGGATTATCGCGCGCCGGTGGTTACTAAGATTAATATGAATCACCCAGATATTGATAAGCTGAAAAATGAATCAAAAATGGGGCTGATCGGGAAATACATGTAATACCTTTAATACATGTTAAAATTAAAACCCACATGAACATTACTTATACACCAAGTATAGCGAGATTATAACAAGGAAGAACGATATTTTAACAAGCCACAACAAAATACATGGTAATAACATTTGGTTAATGGCTTCGCGTTAAATATTAAGTATCTGTTTTCTCAGTCATCTCGAGTTCAGCTTCGAGGATCTTGTGGTTAGGGCCCAATGCCACTACAGAGGCGCTGAGTGAAAAATGTCCCGAAATAGTTTGTCATTGCCTACGCTTTTCTTGATAATCCTCTATTACTTAAGACTCACTCTCTTCCACAAATAAGTTGGAACTTCAATGCTGCGTTTTTGTCCCGTAATTCAGGTGCGAGAATATTCTCTTAGGATGCTTGATTGCAGATTGAGCTAACCACATTTCATGTATTTTCTGGGCTTCCCAGACTTCAATTGCACGCTCATTACTTACCGACCTGTAGCGTTCCATCGTACTTGTTGTTTTAAGGCTCATGGCAATGTTCCAACACATATTCTTTTGTTTTAATAAACATCTTATATCCCAGTCTATCCAAGGATTACCACGCTTCCCCATTTTTTTACAACTATCCAGAGTATAAAATATTGGGTCACTTGATTGTATAACCGCCGAAAATTAGTCCATGCTGATGCTCCCAAGTCAATTATACAGTTTTCAACCGTGGCCGCTGAGTTGATCACTTCCATATATTAGAATGGGCCAGTGCAATTGTTCGACAGACTATCTCAGCCATGAACTTAAATAAGATTATCTCATGATCACTTCTCCCGAATGGTGGGAGTAAAGTCATGTGGTTGGTACTATCACCGTGTGTGAAAGATTAGATCCAAGAGAAACGGGGAGCTTTGTAGATCCTATCTACTGGGATCGCTAATATGCTGGCATAAAGTTAGGACAGTTGTGGTTTCTAACAATTTGCAACCGCATGATTTTGTTGATGACCCTACTTCTATGTATACCCAGTTTACGCATGGTGCATTAAAGTCGACTACCATAATGCTTTTGCCTCTATTACACCAGAGGAAGCCATCTACAACACATTTTGGACTGCGGTATACTACATTTGATTCAATATCTCACCGTTTACAATTCAGATTACAACACATCAGTTCACATATCATTAAATCATGTGTCACTGTCTCGATAGCTCATATAGCTAAGGTAAATTTCGCTCACAGGAAAACCTCGCCTCTCCTGGGTTCAATCTGTCAGCCCTGCTGGATAAAAAATCAGTGTCCACCATTATCTTGAGCTCCACAATTTTGTTTTGTAGGCTCTGAGCATTTGTATAGCACACCTTCATTTCTGTGAGAAGCTATCCCTTAACACCTAGAGTGGTTTGGGGATCGTTTTACTCCGAACATTTGCAGTGAGAATATACTTGAGCATAATGTTTTGTCACCGTTCAGCAGAAGCGAATGTAAAATTTTGGTGGCATGTTTTCAGTATACTTTCTGAATCCACTTTTTGTCTCACTCTATAGAGCTTACAGGCGCTAAATCCTGAAATAGCTCCTGAGAGTAGCTTGCTTATTAAAGACTCAATGTGGCTGGGGTCGTGTTCAAATCAAAATTTTTGCTTTTGTTCGTAGAATTCTCATAACGTACGAAAAGTAACTGATCTGTCAGCGAGGAGTTTTACTTACGATATGTGTCGGCCGCAGAGTTATAACTTTTCACTTACTTTTCTTTTTCTGAGCGTAAAGATAAGCCAATCATTTATCACTTCGTCGAAATGTGGTTTCGCTTTCCATAACCCCGTAATTCCTAAGTGAAAAAGTCTTGTCCGAACCCTATCTGAGTAAAAACTCCGTTTTTTTGACAAGTATGTTTTTTATAGACGCATTGGATAACTCACAACTCTTTCATAGTCGGTTCGTAAAACGATAATGTTTTAGTCCAAAATGTCAGTTTATTCATAATTAGTGAAAATGACCGACCACTTTCCTCGTTACTCAGTGCAGCGGTAAATCAATCCCCAAAATAAATAGTTCTGTGAGCCTTTGACATCGATACTGGCCTTACTGGACGCACCTAGCTGAAGACATTTTCCCACACATCTGCACCATGTCACGAATACATACGCCGCGCTACGCAGCCTGTGCAACTAATAACCAGGCAAGACTAAAAGCTTTCCGACATATTGATAACCCGCCAAATATGCCCTCGAACTCTTTCATTTCTGACTACATTATTTGTTTGAATTGGCATCCTTCAACTAAAAATGTGTTATGTATAAAGATATTGTCAAACTCCGAATTTCTGTGGCGTCTTCGAACTAATGGCATCACAAACATCACTGGGCACCACTTTAGTTCTTACATAAGTTCAGTTCCAACACAAACTATATACGAAACTCTCCAAAGTCAGAGGCATAACATAGCGTAATAGACTGCAGGCATATTTTTCGCACCTTATGAGTAGTCAAATCCTGGGATTCGCTGTCGGTTACGGTAGTACGAGTGACTTCTTAGAAGTCCCTTAAGCGAAAACCTGACATATTCTCAAGGAATAAGAATACTGCACTTTACTACAATACTACACTTCGTCGTTAACTATACCTAGGCTCCTACCTTGAGACATCGAAGCTCACTAACTACTATATACAGAAGCCCGCTTAGCGGACGATTCTTTAAGTCAGCACCTATCTTGACTGGCAAAGATGATGCAAATATCAATTATTATTCTGTCGATTATTAGTATTCACTGGAGCGTAGGATAATTCTAGCCAACTGATCCATTTGTTTTATCGTAGCTACTGAGAGGGAAGTATGAAATTATTGGCTCTCAAGGACGACGCGCGTAGTCCAGCTTCTGGAGTTACGGTGTAGGTAGTCGAAGAGTGGCCAGTAGGGTGCGGTTCTGACCTTTACAAGAACCGTCATCTGGTGGAATTCAGCTTTATTGCGTCATAGTACATCTTCCGTTTGGCATAATCTTCGTTGAAGCTATCTTAACTTATTTTACAAGACCTGTCTGTGATGATTCTGCGAAATCACAAACTCACATTTTGGTATTCAGGCCACTAAAGATGCGCAAGTTTTTCAGGTCTAGAATCTTTTTTCAAAACATGATCGGATTTTTCCCAGCATTGGATTTTCCTCCCGGATTTTACCGATCGGTAAACTGAACTGACACATCGAGGTATCATTTCAAAAGTACAATCTACAACATACCAAAAATAACAAGCTGTAATGACTTACCCGCACCAATTTGGAACGAATACGTTAGTGCAACATTAATGAGCATATAACCAAACCGATAAAAAGTGAAAATAGTTTTTGATCGTTAATTTAAGAATATCCTAACGGGACGTATGACTATATGCATGAAGAATGCCACTTTTTCACGTACACTTTCTTACAGTGCTTACGTATTTATTATTTCGTATCGTGCATGTAAGCTCAGTATGCGAAAACAGTTTTATTCTTAAAGTCTTTCCCACGGAGTCACTTGGTTTTGAATTAGTAACATAACACCTGATCGATCAAATTTCCCGCAACTCTGACACTGATTCGCTCGGTAAAAACAGTAATTATTTAAGCTGGTTTTTTTTTTAGTCCCGTGCAGTGCTTATTAAATTGCTCGTTTTCGTTGGTAGAACGTAACTCAACAGTGATTTCACTGCTTTTCTAGGTTTTGTCTCACTGGTATTCTATATGTTTCTTATCTTGATTGTAACAAAAACAATAGCAACTTACAAGAGCTCACAGTACAAGATGTTCTAACGTTTTTTTTAAAAATATGGGCCTAGTAATTTATGTATTTTATTTCTTGGAAGTCACTGGTCTCAATCCCGGTTGCATAAACTGGGAGGAACTCCAAATCACAAAGTCCGCGAATTAACGTCAAGTTCGTCCACCTGTATTTGTTTACTAATTTGCTGGAAAGTTTAGAATCCCTGGTAGATCCTATATTTCGCTTACATCCTTCATTTTCTAGGGTAGCAATCCTTTTTTCCGTGTCGATTACTCATATACCGAGATACCTGCCATAAAAAAAGTGTGCATTGCTCTATACTTCGACTAAGAAAAAATTGTCTTGGGAAATGCCTATCCGGTCAAAACGAAGTCTGCAAAAAGTACTACTCATTGAGGTTAGAATCGGACAAAATATTAAAATTATTAAATTAAAACGCGTTTCACGAAGCGATTTTCACCGTTTTGATAAAATTAATGCACCTAACTTTCCAGAAAATTATATATTTAATGCTATTGCACATTATTGAGGATCATATCACATATAGACTAAGAAACAAGAAATGCTAGTCTTTCCATATGGTATCTCTTGGTCCCATCATTCTTGCTGTTAATAACCGAAAGTCTAAAGTCGTAACTTGAGAGACTTAATATGTTTCTGAAAAATAAAAGCCACTGTACTAGTTGAAATCAAGCTGTTTTTCACACAGTTTCTGATGACCGTCTAATTGTGTGCTGTAGTTATCAATGCCCTCGTCCTTACATCTTGTTGATTGAGAAACGCTTCAAAATTTGTGTGACATTGGTAGTATTGTACCAGCCTGTACTATTAGACCGTTATATTGTTCGCTGGATTGTGGACTTGATACTTTCTTACCAATTTAGAATTGGAGGGTAAACAATTAGGAGTAGCTGGATAACAACAATATTAATTCGCAAGTGATTGGAAGTATGAAATGGTAGCTCATTGGTTAGGGCGTGTGACTTCCATGCATTTAGTCTCAGGTTCGGACTCCGATTTACTGACTCCTTCTGGGCTACCGGATAGGATAACTGCTCTTCACATTTAAAGCGTGGTTTGGACCCGAGAACATTTTTTGTCAATAGTAGTGGTAATAAAGTAAAAGCATAAGCTGCTCTAAGCTTTATCGAGACAGCTATAGAAAATCTAACAGGTTCATTATTATGTCATTATTGGATTTCGCTTTAAGATTCCTAACCTTCTTGCTCGATGTCTGGCTCTATTATTATTTTTGTGAATTATGGATTACATTTATTTGCAATGCTTGCACATGTAGTATTTCAGTCCGGTGATTTATCAACTTTTTCTACCTCCATCAAATACTACTTCACGTTTAAAACGTAACTTTATGCTTGTTAAAACTCCTTTTCTTTGCAGAAAATTGCGTTTTTGTCTTCCTTCTGGGAAACAAATGAACGAATCCTTAGCTAATGGGATTATCAAACCTATGATTTGTGGTTTATGCAGGAAAACGTCTTCATATATCTGTCCTCGATGTAGTATTAATTATTGTTCACTGACTTGCTATCGAAATGAAGCGCATAAAGACTGCTCTGAATCATTTTACCGAGATTGTTGTATTGAATCACTGCGCTGTACCTTTTCTAAGAAGTCAGAAAGATCACACATGAAAGAAGTGTTAAGGCGTGAATCATGTGCTTTATCAGATGACTTCCAGTTAGCAAATGTGAAATTTCAGGTAGACAATGATTATACAGATGATAAGAATGAGAGTATTGAAGATGATTTGCAAACTCGGTAAGTGTTTCTTGTTCTTTTTCATCAATAGTTTAGTTAATTTTAAACATGATTTGTTACATGAAAATATTTTTTTTGTATAAATAGGAAAAAAACTTAACATTTCTTGGATTTAATTATATTAAAATTATATGACTTCTGTCATGTTGACAGGTTGTCCTCAAGATCACTAGAAAATTTCTGCCTCCATTTGTGCATCATATAAGAATATGAACATACCTGATTGCAAACAAGATTAGATCACGTACCAAGCGTTTTTGAATCGGGATTATAAATTAGATTAAATGGGTAATTCTGTGATCCAATCAAAACCCAATAGATTGAAGGATTTATCAGTAACATAGCATTCGGATTTGATTATTAGATCATTAAATTTGACTGAACATTTAGTAATTCTAGAAATTTTGATTGGGATGCCCGATGCGTTTTTATGCAATCGTTAGTAGGATGAATGCTTAGACGACCAAGTTCGTACCAAGTTTTGCGAGAAATCAAAGTAACATCGGATGCAGTATTCACCTGCAATGTAATAATACGATAAATACTTGCGTACACATTGGGGTTTAGATTTGGAAAATACATGCATACAATTGATCCTTCTTGGCATTCGATAATGGGATGAGGGTTTGCTGCGTTTGCGAAATTCCTACTTATGGTCAGTCAGTCCACATTTTGTGCATATTTATTTTTATTGAGTGGACAGAAATGAGAGAACTACCATGCCCCATAGTTCCATCAACTAGTGGAAGTCCTTGTAAAGCGACGTGAATTAGAGTCGTGGACATCACACGTTCGATTTGGGCTAGGAAATTTTCGCGGATTATGCTTCATGACAGCAATAGTGCGGTCTGAATGAGAGATTTTCATCAATAGGGATTTGGTTGTTCGATCATTTTAGTATCATTCTTAAAATTAATAATATGGCGACATTCAATTGTGTTATCTTTCAACGTAAGATTGGGATCTGACTCGATTCTGCCTAAAATTCTGGTAAAATATCTGTGTGTGACGATTGCACCCCGTGTACAAAGGTAAAATATTTAAATTGTTCATCAGAAAGTGAACGCAACTTGAAACTCCGCATTGCTTATTAACAAATGCTGCATACGAAACGAAATCGTTATCAGGTCTCCTAACAGTTCAAAGACAATTACATCGCAAATTGATTAAGGGAGTCTGATCAGTAAACATTTTTGTTAGTTTTCGTACAGTAAAATGAAAAGAAAGATCGTTGGGTTTCTTTGGCAAGGTAAGGTTCGAACACTTCATGTTCAGCTGCTCTAAGCTTACGAATTAGAATTCTCACAGAGAAGTGATCATAATGGGAAAACTTAACTTGGAAGGTGTCTTCATACCTCTTGAACCTGATGAGAACCTAACGAAATAAAATGAATTCATATTATTCTGCACCAACCTTTGTTCTTACTCTCTTTAAAATAATAAAGGGAACTATATGTATGAAGTTTTCTTAATAGTAGGTTAATTCTTATGCTTTGAAACTAAAGTTGTTAATCGGAATAAAAACTTCGGAATGTTTTTGCTTCAGTTTGGGTGATTTAAATTTGGAAACCGAAGATGTTAATGTCATCTGGTCATGTTTGACCCTGAAAGAAAAACGAGATTTCAGTAGACTTATTCAGTCAAATGCTATCGTTCATTTCATACCAACATGGACTCCCTGGTGGTTAGAGCAAAAACCAATTATTGAAGAAGTAAATCAACAGAATGCTTCAGTGGACAAATCGCGAACCTTACCTAGTATTCAATCGTTAAGTCAACTTTTACCATCCGGAATATCGCCTCACCCTTCAGTTGGGTATATTTTAGCAGATGTATTGTTGGGATATGCTTTTGTTATGAGGTAAGCTAGTAACAACGAGTAATCCAATAAAGTTTTGTTTAGCTTTAAGTTTCCACTGATTTTGTTATAAAAATGAATGTTTCCTTGTATTTTATTGGATTTGTGTATTTCTGTTAATTAACTGAATAAACTCTAGACTTGAAACCATAGTTACTGTATGATCCCATGGTACTGTCCAAATGAATGTCAATCAAGCATTCTCAAATGTTTATGCAATGGAATGACATTTCAGAATTAAATAGAGTAAGACAAAAAGCCGGTTTCATTAATGCTTGTCTAGGCTAGAAACAGTTATTTTCATATTATTGTCCTTGGCTAACTATAACTGTAGTAAAACAAAGAAATCTCTCTGTAACAGGTATTTCTGACGTTTCATAAAGTATTCTATTTATTGTACCTGTACTTACAATTAATAATATATATACACTTTGATCAAAGTTAGTGATTATTGTGACTCATTGATCTAGTGGATAATGAGCTGGAATTTTAAGCGGTTTATTCTAGGTTTGAGTTCAGTATATAGATTAACACTGGAATCCAAATATATTCAGGCAAAAAATCGCAAACAAGAAAAAAATCGTTCTACTCCTGGCTCGTTTATCAAGAAGTAGTTTTTTAAAAGGAATTTTTTGTCCACCTACTGTCTGTGTATAAATCATTTTTTCTACTTATTAAAGATTTTATAATGGAGACTACATGGACTTAATCGATGATGCAGGAACTCTTCTGTGTAATATAGTTTTATCATTCACAAAATCTCAGACTATTTCAGTCTCATCACTGAATACTACTACTTCTACTAATAATAATTCATCAGATTATTTAAAGAAAACAAGAATAATTAGAAGACAGAGTGGAAATAATCCAACTCATCAAATATATAACTGTATAAATGAAATTCTTGCCGCAATTCAATATAAACTTATGGAGCTAAATTTACCTTGTCATCCTTCAATTATGATACTATTGCTTGAAGATCTTAGTCATTTATTAGATAATATTGGATTTTGTAATAAAGCACTGAAAGACGTGAATAAATTAATAGTGAATTTCAGGAAAACTCTACGTGCTGTAAATTCAAATGAAAACTTACGATTAAAAGCAAATGTTGCTCACCATAAAATAGTCTTTCTTCAAGCTTGCCTTGATGATAACAATCAATTGGCTAAACGTTGGCAAACAAATGTTTTACCAAAATTATGGAATCAAATATCTAATGAATTAATCCAACGAATTAATGATATTGAAAACTCAAGTACAGATAGACGTGATGAAAAATCTGCTGGTCCAAATTGGCGCAATATTATTCGAGATGAAAATGTTTACAAAAGTTCTTATTGTCGTACGTTAGTCGAGTCAATTGATACTAATAACTAAATGCTTCATAATTTCTTGAGTACCTGTACATAATATACATATTTTAATATTTGCTTATGGCAATAAATCTAACATTTTATCAGTTTGGTGGAAGTTGGCTACTACTTTGATAAAGTGGTTGAGGTTGCCTACCGTGACGACAGAGTTGAGGTTTATTGACAGGATCACGTGTACCATAACTTCCTAGCATACCACAGATGTAAAATCCTCAGGTTAGTCTTACTACTGACCATTTTAAGGTGTAGGGTATTTCCCAGTGATGACCACCACCACCAATAATCTGTTCTCGTAGATGAGAGATTGTGAATTTTGTTTTCCTGAACAGCACGTTACTATTGTCTTACGAAATTACGATGCTGTTAGAAGTTAACTCGACAGAATCGATAGCTTACTGGTTTCGCGTTTGCTAAGTCATAAAGAAACCTTACGCTTACGTCTAGTCATAGCGATTGATAGTATCAATTGGACAGGGAATATCTGCTACTCAATATACATTTATATATATATACTAATAGTGTGGTGTGAGCTACTTATATTCATATAAGTAGTATATTACGTGCGTTAAATAAACGTAAGGTCCGGCAGCAGATGGCGAAGATCAAGAAAGGAAGAGCAAGAGCACAATGGAATTGTAAGAAAACACATGTACAATGGAATGGGAGACAATGGATTAGTGTTTGCAACGGGAACAGTACAGTTTGATATGATGGAATGATATTTTGCAAATTGACGATTGACTTTATGGTATTCACATTTATTGAGAAAGTCTGTAATCTTTGTGCTAAATACAGTCGATTGTCCCCACCCGTGTTCTTGTTCACTACAATAGGACTACTAACATTGACAACCGTGAACAATAAACGCATAAGACTTCACGTTTCTTTTTTTCAGACGGGCTATTCCAAAGCGAAAAGCTAGAACTATACAACTCATCAAAGATCGATTAGGCGAATAGCTATTCAATACAAATACTTTTACAAGGTAACTAAAAATGAGGCTAGGATACATCGTATTAACAAGTTAGGCAATAAAAGGGTTTTTTTGAAAGCATTACATTGAAGGGTGCATAGGAGCAGAAGAAAAACTGTTCCCACAGTTTTAGTGAGGTGTGTGCTACTGACGTCGATGGATATAAGTATGTATTACGAATCGAAAGTGAAATGCCTGGAGGCAGAAGATCGAAGAGAAAAAGACAGATAGTGATTGGTTTGGAAACAAAGGTGCAATCAAATCTGAGACAACTGAAATTTTGCAAATGAAGTATTTACTGTATGGTTTCACAGATTTTACTGAGATTCTGTAATTTTCTATTCAAATACGTTTGGTTGCTCCCACTGGTGTTCTCGTTCACTACACTAGTGCTTAAGCAAATTCAAGGAATATTATCAGCAAGTAATCACCGGGTTCCAAACCATAATAAATTACATGAGCCCGTATGAAATAGGATGTTTCTTTACTAAATGGTACATCTAATGTGTGATAGCGTGTTTCATCTACCAGGTGGTAGTTCTGATAGACTGTGCCTTTTTTTAATAAAATATTTTCTATCAATAGTACAAGAGGGTTTCAGTGAAGAGACGCCTTCCTAAAGTTAACCTACTTATCGATTAAAAGATAATAGGACTGAAAAACTGGTATCAAAAAATGGAGAGTACACAGCAGAGCTATGAGAAATCCCAAAAAGTGAATTTAGAACGATTGCACTAAACCACTTATCAAAGAAAAATCTCAGTGAAATAACTAAGTGTATGTCAGAATACTTGATTGGTCCATGTGTAAAAAGTAGCAGATGTCAATTAAAAACTTTTTTAGTTATGTAGAGGGTTTCTACTTGATTGGGTGAGAACAAATTCCATGTACGATACAATACAAAAGCAAGTTGTGTCAGTAAGTATTGGAAATCATTCCAGAAACTGGGAGAATGCTTGTTTTAACATTCAACTTGCGTAAATATTGGGGGTTAGATTCAGATAATACATGCATACAATTAATCCTTCTTGGCATTCGATAATGCGATGAGGGTTTGCTGTGTTTGCGAAATCCCTCCTTATGGCCAGTCAGTCCACATTTTGCAGATTTATGTTTATTGAATAAACAGAAACGGGAACTAAGCAGTACTTGACAATTCAGTTCAACAGTATAGAAGCAAAGTTTTTATTTCTTAATTAAATAAGATTGTGAAAATAACATGGAATTGAGAAATGGAAAAAATGCAATCCGAATTATATTTATGAAACCTATTTGTATAATAGAATACATAAATTATTCAAGTGGAATAGTTGTGTTTGTTGAAAACTAATAACATATAATATATGGAATCGGATTTTTCACATAAAACAAAGAATGCAGTCAGTGGTACACTGGTATCTTATCTACAAGGAATCAATCGGTTTTTTGTGTTAAATGATTCAGTTTGTATTGATCCAATAACGATTACCTAAAGGATGATCTTTAAAATAATATGAACCGTATTCTTCATACATTTGCTTAGTTGTGTAGTACTCGTCAGCATACGATGAGTTCGCGAAATGACGCGCTCCATGCCATGCGTCCAAATGAGGATTAGCTAGTAAATTGTATTTATAAAACAGTATGAAATATCCACGTAATTCAAATTTCACCAAAGAAAACAGGTTTAAATAAAACGTTTGAATCAAAGTATGTTGATATTACAAAATGTATAAATCTTTTCAGATGTGGATAGTAAGACAACCTGCCATGTAAATTGAGCATAACCAGTATGATCCTGTATAGGATCTACGTTGCTGATTAGTATCACATATATTATCAATGTATATTTATTAACATTGTCCAAAAAAAACAGGAAATATTGTAGGAAGCAATTTCCTACAGGTGTAACTCTAAGCTATTCTCTAGACTGTCGAGCACAGAATCTTGGTTTAGTCAGAGTCAGAACAAGTAAGCTGTTTGGCTTGACAAACTTTATCTATTTCTGAAACATAAATTAACATCGTTAGTATACAAAATAAACAGTACAGTCTGTCAACACGGGAAAAACAGACATAAATAACATACCGAACAGTAGCTAGAGGATAGGAAAAATGAGTCAACAAGGCAAATATTGTTTTATAGTGAACATAAAATTGTGATTGGTGAATAAACAAGACGTAGTCATGCAAGGTCAAAAAAAATAATGTGGTGGTGGCCGTTTCACTTTGTCATTGCTGAGTTCGTTTATCGATCACACCTTACAAATATCTAGAAACATCAAAAAAGTACCTCAAATGTTTCAGGCTAACACATCGATCTAATTAACAGTGCAGTCACGAATCTACTCTAACAATTCTTGATACAAGAATTAAAGGAGGGCCATATGGTACTAAACTACATTACTCCGCAAGGATTTTATACATTTCAAGACACTGACTACTTTCCAAGGAAATATATATAGTATGCAATTTATAGACATTTCACAAATATTTCAAGAGACCCTGAAAAATATCAAACCGGTTATGGTATATAAATCACACCACGCTCAAGTGCAATGATAATACCACTGCTTCAGTGTTTAGAAAATGAATGAAGGAGAGGAAATCTCATCGTGCCTATACATACATAATGACTATAATTCCCCAACTAGCTTGCCAGCTGTTTTTGTGGTTTGTTAGCCTCGTAAACAAATGTCCTAACTCGTTTATCACATAAAACTCATACATTTGTGTATGATAATTAACTTATTCCCGATTGTGTTCTTATTTAACTTTCTGTATTAGGGAATTTTTGGTTGATTTGTTAAAACCTTTTAAACTAAGATTATTCATATTTGAACTAATTGTAATAAAAAATAACGGATCGGAAGATGTATCCTGTATTTTGTTAAAAGAAAACCTTATTTCAACTTACCAGCTACAATAACTTCAATGTCATCCCATTTTGATCCAACAGGTAATAAAGGCCTGATATCGTATCGAATTCGGTCGACAAGACCAGGTAGAGCAGCAACGCCACCGGTTAGATATATTCTTTGAGGAAAGCTTGGCTCAGATGAATTATCAAGTAAACGTGATGTATCTCGCAGTACAAACTCTAAACAATCGGAGAGACCAGCTTCTGAACTACCCATAAAACTTGGCTGAAATAAAACTTCATGAGATCTAATATGAAACAAGAAAAGAAGACAACGTAAAAAATACCATTTACTAAAAGAGGGTTTGGCAGTATTTCAGTCAAATGAGATGGGAGTTATTTAACTGGTTTATATCAATCTACCGAAAACCGGCCTTTCTTAGATGTCTACTATGCTTCTAATGTGATATACTGCCTAAAATTCTGTGCAGTGGTAGTGCGCCTTTAACAGTATCATTGAATGTTGAGACAACATTTATTGACATCTCATGGAACTTGTCATATAGTTGTAGCTTCTAAAATTCTGTCACTAGGACACAATGATCTTATGGATAGCAGACCATCTATTGTTTTAATTTCATACACCAAGATCAAATAATGATAAATGACACGAACAGTAATAAAAAATAAAAAGGAGGAAACAGAATGTCTGTATTAGTCTTCGTAGCATGTTTTAGGCCGTTGTTGCTACCTTGACGTGGTGGTCGGGCTTGCCTGTCGTGATGACCCAACCGAGCTATACTGGCTGGAACAACCGTTCCTCAAGGTCCTACCATGTCAGACAGGTCGGTTGAAGAGCGGTAAGACTAAAAGCAACAAACCGAAGGCGAAGTCGTACTGCTGACTGTGCAGAGGTGTGACAGCAGTAAGGTGTTTCCTTCAGACAACCAGCATGACAGCGATGCTGCCTTCCCACAAGGAGGGGTGGGGTTAGAAAAGGTCGACCCTAAAAATGCACACCTCACCTTATCTCACGATTTCCGTCTCCGGCGGTAAGGCCCTTTGAAGAACGGAGCTAACACGTCAAAAACCTCCCACGAAAAAGCCGTGCGCGACCGGCCTCAAGCGGTTGTCCCTTGGGCACTGTGGTCACGCTCTCAGGTCACTGAGACCGCCTCTAATCCCATATCCTTTTCAGGTACCTCCAGAAGAACCCTTCCTCAGTGTGGGCAACCGGGAAGTGACAACCGCCCTCATACCTCTAACAGCACCCAAGACCACTGTATTCATAATCAACCTTCCTCTTCAATTCCTATTATTCTTCCTACATCGACTTTCAACCCTAAAATTCCTCCTTCGGCTTCCTTCTCAAGTGTCACCATAGCCAACGATTCTAGTGCTCAAAACACTGTCCCAGGTCTACTGAAACCTCACTCCAAACTACACATTGGAGCTTTCAACGTACGCACTCTATGTCAAATCGGTCAGCAGGCTTCCTTGGCTAAAACCCTAGAGTCCATTTCCATTGATGTATGCTGTGTCTCCGAAATACACATACAGGATTCCAGTGTGGTCATTCACTTGACCTTACCTCGGCAAAACGGAGAGCCAACGAGATACACCCTACGTGTATCTGGTGACCCGATGGCCAGTTCTCGTGGACTGGCAGGTGTAGGTATAGCACTAAGCATGAGGGCGGAACAAACACTGCTAGAGTGGATCCCTGTCAA